GCCAGTTAGATTTCTTTTCTCCTTAATCATGAGTCCTGAAACTCTTTTTCCTAAATGGCCAGAGTGGGATATATGCTTCATTAACATATATAATGCTTGACATTTATCATACTACTTCAGCTCTAATATGCTTGAATTAATGGCAGTAAAAACTTACGGTACTAATTAATGATTATTATTTTCCAAATACTGAAATCTAACCAGACGTAATAAAAAGAATTAGCATCAAGTAAAGCAAAAATAAATAAGGCTAAAAGGGGAAATAAACTTCATAGCACATATGAAAAAGTATTAATATACTGGCTACATGAAAGCTTTCTTATATATTGGTTAAGAAAAAATAAAAATATTTGTCTAAACTTAGGCCCATTCAAACTCTGTGCCAAAAGAATTGCCCCTCCATTTTCTTATCGAAATAATGTTCTGCACTTCATTGTTGATGTTCTAATCTTCCAACATTTCCCATTGTTGTCACATTCTTTAGAGCCACATTTCTCAAACTTCAATGTCCCCATGCATAGCTTGGACATCTTATTAAAATACATATTCTGGAGCCAGTCAGTGGCATGGTGGTTAAGGTGACTGGGTCCCACATGGCTGACTGTGGTTCAAGTCCCAGATCTGATGGCTTAAAAAAAATCCACCAGATGCATGAACATGTCCATAAATCCCAAAAGGAAGAAGGGACTGAGACATGATCATCTCCCATGGGTGATGCTTTCTCACTTTTCCTCTCTCTGTCTTCTTCTGGTGAATGAACACAACCACTTTCTGGCAAATTTAAAAACAAACAAACAAACAAACAAACAAAAACACATTCTGATTCAGTAGGCGTAAGAATATGCATTTCCTAACAAGCTCTCAGGTGACACAGATGATGTTGGACTCAACCTCATGTTTTAACGATCGGCACTTTTAGTCATATCCTTCATTTATTCATTGGATTGCTCACGTTCATAAAATGGAAGTACATTGGGAATGGGGGTAGGGAGCTGGTCACTGATACCCTTCCCTTTCTCCAGGGCTGCTTGCAACTCTGCCTCTTGCTAGCAAAGACTTTTCAATGCTTACCAGTTACTGGCATCTGCTGGCCTCCAGGATCTGCCTCCTGATGGACTTGATTCATTGAAAATGCTGGCTCCTGACTTAATAGGTTTCCATTCCACTCTAAGTCCAGCCAGCATCCTAACAGGAACAGATTAGTAGCTGCTAAGGGTCAGGATAGAGGTAAGGGAGATGAGTGTGCTTGAAATGCAACTGGTGAGAGCTTTGTGGTGATGACATTGTTATACACCTCAATTGTATCAATGCCAATAGTGTGGTTTTAGTGTTATACTATGATTTTGAAAGATTCTGTCATTGGAGAAAACGAGGTAAAGAGTGCACGGGATTTCTCTGTATTATTTATTACAACTACACTTGAATCTCAAAATTCTTTTTTTAGAGAGAGATTTTTACTATACAGCATGTGCACTTGCCAGAAAGACAGAGAGAGACAGAAAGCGAGAAATCACTCCCTGGGGCGATGGCCATGTGGCAATCCCTTCTCCTCCATTCTCCTCTCTGGACTTTGGACATGCACACACATGTGCCCAGCATGAGTTTTAAGTCAACAGGTATAGATGTCAAACTGCAGTCAACTACATGCGAGTCCAGTGACATAACCATTACACCATCTGCTGGCTCCTCAAAATTATTTCTTGCAAGTGTACATGAATTGAAAAGAAACAGTTCACTTGTAAAAAGATAACATTATAACCAATTGAATAAAATGAGTCCATTTATAAATGAATGAATGAATTAATGAATGAATGAATAGGAGAAGATAACCCTTTTTCTCATAGAAGCTAACTACCAAATTTTGAAGGCAAAATGGAATTAGAAACTCATCATTTGGCAATCACAAGAATAATGATTAATTCAACAGATACCAGAAATTAAAATTTAAAGAACAGAATATTTATATAGTCTTGAAATACGCCCCCATACGAAACACTTGTTACAAAGAAAAAAGTAAAAAGAATTTTATTCACAGTGAAGAAATCTAGCAGACACTTCCTTAATCATGTAATCAAAGTTATCACCACCAGTGGCCAGCAGGTGGTATGGGGCTAAGGCATTGGACTTCTACATGGTCGATCACAGTTTGAGTCCTGGACCTGGTAGCTTGCTTTCTCACTTTCTCTCTCTCTCCCCCTCTGTCTTCCTCTGGTCTAATTTTTAAAATGATAATAAATTTAAAAATTAAATAATTCTTTATAAAAGTTCACAGTTCACATCACCAGTAACAGAATGAATCAACATTTGCATGCTGCTTGATAGGATGCTTTGAGAAGAACCACAGTATCACTGTTTTATTTTGCCAAAGATAAAGATGGCTCTAATCACAAAGAGATGTCAGAAAAACTCAGCTTGCAGAACAGTCTATAAGATGACCGACCTATGATCTTTAAGTGAAAAGGTCATGAAGATCGAGAAAGACTGAGGGCCTCTTCAAGGCTGAAGAAAACCCAACAGATAGGCAAATAGATGCAACCAGCTGTCCTGGACTGGTTTCTTTTGCTATAATGGACATGAATGGATGAGTTGGTGAAACTTGAATGGGGTTTGTTAATTAAATGGGGTTTGTAGTTCCTGTGTTAGTGTTAATTTACTGGTTTTAATGGTTCTATCGAGGTTGTATAAGAGAGAATGCTTTTTGTCTCTCTATAGGAAGATCATGACAAGGCATTCAGGGGTGACAGGGCATCAGCTAACAATTATTCTTAGTGAAATGAAGTACAATCCTAATACATTGTCCCTCCTTTATGGAATATAAACTCAAGTTGGGACAAAGAAAACATTTGGGGGCTCAGAGACCACGTGGTTGTTCTACCTTGAAGTTCAGCAGTCCTTACAGAAGGGAAGTAAAGGTGGCTATAGACAATGCAACACAAGCCAGAAGACTCTTGAACAAGAGAAATAGTGCTGACCAGACCACACATTACGAAACACTGGTTGAAAATGATTTATTAAGGTCCAATTAGTATACGTTTAATTTCAAATAGTTCATATCTCCTCCAGAAAATACGCATGAAGAGTAAAAGTCCAAGTTCATTTCTTTCACCTCCAATATAAAATGTCCTGTATTTTGTATCAACTCAAGTATGTGCAAACTCTTTTCTGTTAAATGGTTCCCCACAGTCTTTTCACTGTGGGTACTTCACAAGTCTACCCTCTGCTCAAATGCTGACCAAGCACTGAACCCCTTCTTCCTACGCAGCCATCGTCCTTTTGGACTTCTTTCTCTTAGACGTCCTCCTGACCTACCCAGACCTACTTCATGACTGTGCTGCTTCACTTGTTACTTACTACAAACCAATAAGATTCCTGGACAATGTATTAAACAGGCATCACCTAATATGGCAGCAGCCTATCAGGGTGGTTCCTGGAGAATACACAGGATCCAGTCACAATCTGATACACCCAACCCATCTGCTCTAGAAAGGTCCTTCCTTCATTGGCATATTGGCTTCCTTTGCATTTTCTTCAATTCTATATTATATCATAGCTATCAAGAGCTTGGATGACCAGTCCCTCCAACAAAATTTAGAATTACTAGCTAGATTAAGGTACCTTGGCTACTATGACAATTGACTTGTTCCTATCATCTTGTTATATAAGAAAAAAGTCACTTTCGACTAAAGTAATCACTGCATTTCTTTTGTAAAAAACGTAACTGGCTTTCTTCACAATTGCCACCCATGCAGCACAAAAATAGGAGACCCCCCTTTCATAAAAGGTAAAAGCAAAAGATGACATTTCACATTAAAAAAAAAAATCCTTCATGGGAATATGCCTTAAGTAAATAATCACTTATACCAACAAAGTTTTATATACACAAATTTTTTGCAACTTTATAATAGTGAATATTTCAAAAATAACCTAAATAATCAACAATATGGGAATGGTTAAATAAACTGAAGTGTGTCCATTAAATGGAATATTATATAGCCATTAAAATTATGGTTTTGTAAAATTTTTAATGCCGTAGGAGAATGTGGCAATTCTATAGTAAAAAAGAACTACTTATAAAACTGTTTACAGTAGGATCCCAATTATGTAAGAAAGTACATAATATACATACACATATACATGGGATAAAGGCTGCTAAAGGTGGTTACTTGTGGGATGTAAGGGTAATCAGTATTCTTTTTATACATTTCTGTATTTTTTTGAGTTTTCTTACGATGAGTATGTATTATTTTATAATTCAGAAAGTACAGGCTATTGTAATTTTCCTCTGATGTACTGGCAATTAAAATGCACTTGAGTACTATGAAGATGTAGGAACAATATTACTGTGCTTCGTTGCCTATGACTTTTTTTAGAGTACATGTTTTTGGTAATAAACTTACATTCCCAATTTGTTGTATACTTGCTACCACATTTTAATGAAGGTGTAATATCATGATTAAAGCATTACTTGTTTTATAACCTAAACAAATACTGGCTTTGACATCTAGGTTCTTCTATTTCCTAGACGATTTAACATTAGTATCCTTTCATTTTTTTTTTTAAGTAAGGCATACATACATTACATGCATGCTTTCTAAACAAAAAATTATTCTAATTTACAGTTTTCCTATATAAGAAAAAATGGAATTATGGTACTTGAAACAGTCTATAGTCTTATCCATCACAAACATGTTGATAGGCATAAACATGTTTATTAAGTGAAATGTATCCTTTAAAAATAAAAAAGGAAGCCTGTATGTAAATGAAGTTGTGGATTCAATTAGTCAGATTTTCTTCTGACTTGCACCAAACCAAACAAAATCTTTCAAAGTCTAGTTAGTGTAGTCTAAATGGACACTCCAGTGTCTATTCTTGAATTCCTTTGAAAGAACTCCACTTCCTACTTTCCAAAGGAACAGGGAATCAGGGTGAGAGTTGTCCCTTTGGCTAATTTTCAATGTACATCAAGTCTTGTGGGGTCTAGGTACAAATACTGCCATTGGTTAGTGTTTAAATACATGAGTTTATTTTTCTCTTCTCTCCCACTCCACCTTGCCCTGGCAATTGGGTAGGGGCAGGCTGTTCATCCTTCAATAAGGGATGGCTGGCTCTTCGTCTTAGTTTCCTTTCTAAACCACAGAGTGGTCATTGCTATGAACTCCAGCCAAGATGGTGTGGTTGAGGGAGGAAGCTGAGCGGTCGGAGCCTTCCGTGGGGCCGCTCGTGTTCTCACTGCGCTGGCAGCAGAGGATCTGTCTGAAGGTGGCGCTCATTTCCTTGTCGCGGTAAGAGTAGATGATGGGGTTCATGGCAGAGTTGAATTCAGCCAGAAGAAGGAAAAATTTCTCATAGGCCAGCACGTCACACTGTGGACAACACACATCCAGCAGCAGTAAGACCAGTCCAGGGGTCCAGCAGATGATAAAGGCACCTACAAGGACAGGAACAGGCATGAGGCAGACCAGAAAAAGAGAATGAAGAAAATGTCATTATGAAACACGCAACCATAAGATAAAATGATTTCAGCTCAATATAATAAAAATATTGCGATTAGAAACCACCCATCACTGCAAACGGGACGTGCATTTTCTGAAATGAGAAAAAAATGACATCATAATCGGTGTGATAAACTTCATTCAAATCCTCTAAAACTGAGTACTTAGATATTACTGGTGATTATTTTTCATCAAAACAGAGTTTGATAACCAATGAAGACATGAAACACTGCACTCAGGATATATGCTTCACCTCTTACAGATTATTTTTAATAAAAAAATGTCGTTTTCAGACAAATTATAAGCACTAATGACAAATATCTTTAATAGTTAAGGCACAGTTTCTAGATTCAGGTTGCCTGGGTTCAACTTTTTGCTTTGTCTTTTAATAAACTGGATAAATTTAGGTGAATGACTTTCTTACCTCGGCTTTCCATTTGAAAAACAGAGATTAAATTTACCTCATGATGTTTAATATAATGATTGAATGCTAATAATCACTCCGGATATATTAATAATAATAATACGTTATTATTGCCTGCTTGGTGGCATGAGCCTGTCTGACTAGCAATTTTTTTTTGGAGAGGTTTTTGCTATAGGGCACATGTGCTCACCAGAAAGACAGAGAGAGAGAGAGAGACAGTGAGAAATCACCCCCCAGGGGGGATGGTCACGCCGCAATCCCTTCTCCTCCATTCCCCTCTCAGGATCTTGGGCACGCATGCACACGCGCCCAACGTGAGTTTAAGCCGCCAGGTCCGGGATTCAAATCATGGCTGACTACATAGCCATGTTCAGCAACATAGCCATTACGCTAACTGCTGGTCCCCAAAATAGCAATTTTTAACAATAGGATGTATGTGTTATTTTTATTCAGCAATCACTTATGCAGTGTTTTCCTACACGTTTTATGAATAATAACTCACTTAATCTTCACAAAATGACACAGAAGCTAATTTTCCCATTACACAGATAAAGACACGGAGATCCAGAAAGTTTAGACAACTTGCTCAAGGCCACTAAAGATGTTAAAATGTGCCAGACAAGGGAAAAATCCCAGAATTTCTGTTTTTAGAGGCTGACTCCAGAGCCTATATTCCAGAAATGCTACATTATACTTCTACTTTTTAAAACTAACACAACTAAATATTTTCAATCAAATTTTATGTTTTTGATATTTTACTAATTTAGGTTAGCTTTGTTCTTTTTCTTCCCCCAACTATTCTGAATCATTAAGATTTACCACAACTGTAGGATTAATAGCAACATAGATTACATTCTTAATTCCATTCTATTTATTGGGTCCTCTGAAAAATCATGACTTATTTTCCTACATTTTGCAATGCAAAAAATGTATCGTTTGGATCCCATGGAAAATGGAGATTATAAAACTACTGTGTTACCCCAGGATCTGCTGAGATCCCCGCCTCAAAGGACATGAAGTGACAGTACCACACTGTAAGTCCCATTACATCTCACCCAATGGGCCCCATCTATATGGCCAGGCTACAGAGCAAGCAGAGGGGAACCGGGCTGATCCCAGAAGTACATCTGAATTTTGGATTTAAACAGCACTGGTCTGGAGCGCTGTAGGTTTGGAATGAGTTTCAAGGAATGAATTTCACAAAACTCAAGGAGTGCATTTCATAAAATGTAAACAAATAAGATTTAGTCTCCAAACACCCCCGTTTTGAATATGAATTTTCTTTTTGTGAACCTTTTCGGCAGGGAAAGGAAAACAGAGAAAGGGAAAAAGTACCCTCATAAAACTCTTTGTTCCACAGCACTAATGCTGTATTGGTTTTAAACTACTATTCACTTTGAAGACTGTCCAAGGTGCTTCATTTTCTTAATAAATACATACCTTAGACTTTCCTTAGAGAGAGAAAAAAATATTTCAAATATCAGGAGATAATAGCTAAGGAGCTATTTGAACTTCAATAAAAATGTTAATAAAGCATTCATTCCAAGTCCTTGAATTTCCTTGCTCGAAAATCACTCAGAAAGCTAAACATAAAGGAAAATCAAAGGAATGCTCTTGGGTTTCAGAAATAATGCATTATTCATTGAGAAGCAGGAAGGGAATTATTCTCTGGGTGGAAAATGCTTAGATGGAAAATACATGGTCCTATTATTCCATTTACTTGGAAACTAAAAACACACAGACCCTTCATGAATGGGAGTGTACTCTTTCAAGTTTCCTTTCTCCTCTCTTTTATCAAAGCTCTAATTGAGATCAAACTCAAAGTTTTACTAGATATTAGCAACATGCATCTCAATAGATATATTTTTAATAAAATTATCTTCTTTCTTCAGGCAGCAGAAAGAAATATCCTTATTCTCATGTATTTGCTCAAACTGCTTGACTTTGTGCAAAAGCAAAAAAAAAAAAAAATTAAATACAGTCACTTGTTTATGATTTCTTCCAATGTTAAAATTCAAAAAAAGCAAGGCTTCCAAAGGAAGCCGTGGTCTTAGAAATTAGCCCACGGGCCTTACTTTTAGACTTGAGAAATGCTAGACGCCTTGCGAGGTTGGAGACAGGAAGTGGGAATCACCACAACCTGACACAGGAGCTAATACATGCGGACACCACATTGAGGAACTCAGAGTCCTCTTTTTCTTTACTGAAGAGATTGTTTTTAGTACTATTCCCGGGTTAGACCACATGGTTCCAGCACTCTGTGTTTAGATCTTTAAGACGTGACCAAATAATTTTAGTGACTCATAGAACAGGCCCCAGAAATCAACGTCTAAAACCAGTCATGGAGGGTTTCTCCCTCTTCTTCCCTCCCTGCTCTTTCATAAACATGAAAAATTCATTTTATAAGCTATGCTGATGTACAGTGATTGAATATATAAAATTTTAAAAATAATAATTATAAAAGAAACTGAGACAAAAAAAAAAAAAAAAAGAAGAAGAAGAAAAAGAAGGAGAAGGAAAAGAACAACTAACCAAAGGACAAGAATGTGCTACAGAAGCGGATAATTGAGTCTGGAAAATTCCAAGGTGGTGAGGCTCCTAAACCATAGTGAATGAATATTATGAAAGCAAGTTTGCTCACATTAAAGATTTCTTCCGGAGCTTTTTTTTTTTTCTTTTGCCTTACAGTACATGCGCTTGCTGTAAGGAGAGAGACAGATACAGTGAGAGAGTAAGTGAGAAGGCACCCACCACCAATCCCCAGGGGTGATGACCATGCTGCCAAGTTGTGATACCTTCTCCTCCATCTTCCTCCCAGGATCTTGGGCACACAAGCACATGTGCCCAGTGTGATTTTCAAGCTACTGGTTCAGGACTTGAACTGCACTTGGCTATGTGGGAGTCCAGTGATGTAACCACTATGCCAAATGCTAGTTTCCCTCTGGAGCTTCTTAAAACAAAACAAAAATCACCCCCAAGCCTGTTTAGTAATAGGTAACTGACCATAATTCAGTCAGGTTACAGGACTTGAGATGTGCATCATGAGCCCTATAAACATGTAATCTATAAAACTGAGTATTGCGACCAGCAGATGGCATAATGATTACTTAACTGGACTCCCAAATAGTCGACTGAGATTCAAGTCCCAGACCTAGCAGCATAAAGCTCACTCCAGGTGTCTGTGTGCATGCCCAAAATTCTGAGAGGAGAATGGAGGAAAAGGGATTACGGTATGGCCATACCCCCAGCAAGCACATGGACCCTACAGCAAAAATCTCTCTTAAAAAAACATCAAAGTGGATAAGAATAAAAAAATTAATTAAACAAAACCAACAACAAAAAACCTCCATCGTAGCCTGCTTAAACTGGAGAAGTAATCACCTTCCTGCCTGTTCCATACAGCATGATGAGAATCAGATGGAGGTCCAGCTTATAAAACCCCTCTGTACACTACACATCTACCTGACCACCACTACCTAGCACCAAGAAGGCTGCTATAGCACAACTCTAGGACAGCTCTTCCCCAAAGCAGAATGTGAAAGCACATTTTGGACCATGAGATTACTTGGTATTTCAAAAAGGTCTGAAATGATACCATGCTGATTATAAGAGATTCTTAGATTCTTAGATTTGTAGGTGGGTGTGAGAAGAATAACAAAGGAAAAGAAAGAAGGAACAAAAGAAAGCATGGAACCCCAAACCGTTGTGGAGGTTCTCATGGGTCAAGGCAGCACCTACCAAGATGGAGCATAAAATAATATGGTACCCAGTAGGGGACAATGCTTTAGGTAGTATGTGTATTTCTAGTGTATTGCGGATGGAGGAATCCCTACAGGCCAAGGCACAAAACCAGACAAGTGGGAAATATCACAAATTTACACAGCACACAGTTGTATAAAAGAGGAAGTACAAGTAATTTTTGGCTATTTCGTGTAATCAGAAGCAAAGGTGGCAGAGATAAGATGCCCAAGGTCATGAAGGTCTTATGCACCTGGCTAAGACATTTGAAATTTTCCCAGGACAGCATCAGTTTGCTACCTATTACAATAGCCTGCAGAGCTTATAAGAAATAATAAACTTCACCCTCCTCTCCTCTTAGGAAATTTTAATTTAATTGGCCTCACTGGTCAGCTTTTCATGTATGATAAAACACTGGTGACAGAATAGAAGAAGAAAACAAGATAAAGGCAAAAATATTCAACATTTCTGAATTCTATAAAAGAAATATTGAATTAGGGTGGCAGCACTGGGGAAAGAGAAGAGCAAAAGGATTAGGAAAGTATTTCATAGACGGTCTCCACAAGATGGATGACAAAGATTAAAGAGGCGAGGATGACTCCTGGATTTTCCATCTGGTTGAGGGAGGAAACAGGACAGTGTTGGAGTTTTGTTAGGGGAGGTGAGGAAAAGACAGTTGATGACCTTCATTTTATATGTGTTTAGTCTGAGGTAACTGCAAGACTTTGGATGGAGGTGCCTTTAAGACATTATGATAGGCTCCTGGAAATTTGA